CCCTTGCTTCTGCTACATTTATTGAGCAACATATGTGCAGGTCCCAGGCGAAGTGCCAGGCTCTGCTGGTGACCAAATGCTGACATGAGTCCCATTCACGTGGCACTTAAAAGTCTAGCGAGTGAGACACATTAGTCCAGTAAATTCACAAGTACAGTTGCTGCTCTGGTAAGTGCTATGAAAGATGGGTTTGCGGTGCAACCATAGCTTTTAACAGACGTTTTGGTCTGAGATGGGCATAGTAAGAGTGAGCAAGGCTGGGGTTGGCAAGCGGTAAGGAGTTCCGCAGAAGAATAGCAGGTGCAAAGTCCTTATGGCGTGCGTCACGTCTCCTCTTTCTTAGTTGAGTGGTACCTTCCACATAATAGGAACTCAGTATTTGCTGATTTTTTCTTGAATCTTAGGTCAAATGTGTTCTAACTAGATCTCATAGATCGGAACCTTCCCTTGCCTAGTGCCTGTCCCCGTGAGGAATTTCCACGGGCGGCTCACTCTTAGAACATGTCGTTGATGGTATATCTGGCCCTTAGTGTGTGCGACTTGTAATATACCTGGTTTTCCTCACAAGTTTGCAAGTTCCTTCAAAGTATAAGGGACTGTATATTTCATATATCCTGTATCTCATATGTCTTATGACCCATCCCTAAACTATTGTTGCCTAAACATTTTAGGTAAGTATCTGTTGATGACGATAAGAGACCCCGTTTCTCCCTCCTCCCTCTTCCTTCCATTTCTGGGGAACAGGAGTCAGTGACTGGGATGTGTTACCTCTTGTCCGAGAGGGTTCAGGACTGGGTATTGACAACCGGATCTTTTTCAGGTAAGCGATGGATAAGAGTAGAAGAGAAATCCATTTCTCTGAATGTTGGGGCAAAGTGCCCAACAATGAAACAAATAGGCTCGTAGAGCCTCGACGATATATAAGGAATGTCTATACACAGTAGCATGGAAGGGAAATTGGGCACGTGAATCACTGGCTGAAAGGGACGATGCCCAGGATTCAGAGCAACCTGACTTTCCGGGATTGAGCTGAACCAATACTCAGATTTCTGAGTTTTAGCTTTTTTTTTTTTTTAAATCCTTTAAGAACAGTGTGAAAAGGTATTTGCTAAAGGATCCTAAGGTTGATGATGGAGCTACGGGAATGAGGTAGGGAGTGGATGACGGCAGTGAAGGGGGAGGGCCTGGCCATGTGCTCAGTCCTCCCAGCTCAGCCTCACTCAACCCTCCATTCTTAGCTAGGCCTGTGGGTTCAGACCCCAATACTAGGATTGGCTTCTATTTCTAAAAGATGCTGGAGTAAAGAACAGAGATTCGTCCATTTTATTCAGCAGCAGACTAAAATTAAGTAAAATAAACCAAACAAGTTCACGTCTTTTTTTACTAGGTAAATTTGACCTGTTTTAGTCTTTAATGTGGTAACTGGAAAAGCTGTCCCCGGACACTCGTGCTTCGGTAGAGCTGGCCATGACCGAGCTGTTTATCTACAGCAAGGGTGGCGTGTTACCTGTTACAAAGAAACTAGGTTAACCAGCAGGGGAAAGGACCAGGGTAGCAGCCTTGGGGAGGGGGCAGTATCCCCGATTTGTAGCAATATTATAGCTGGCTTCTTTGCTCAGGCTTCAGAGGGAAATCCTTGGATGGTCTTATTAGCTGGCAGAGATGGGTGGTGGATAACGAGGCGGAGAAGAGTCAGGATTTCGGAAGCCTCTCATGGAACCACAGCCTCCCCCGGGGCAGCTGATAACCCCCCTCCTCCTGTTTGCCTTGCCTCCCCCCTGGCAAACCCAGTGCCAGGACTGGGACTCTTCTGGCACAGAGAGCATTTGGGCTGCTTGCAGCCATGTAGAGGGCCGGGCCACGGCCTTGGGCCCAGCGTGAGGCCCACACCTCTACAGTCCTGGCGTTTGGAGGCTAGGGTCGGGGCGTCCCATCAGTGCCGCCCACACACCGAAGCACTCAGCTCCTGGTTGGACAGCCTTCCCCCAGCGAGCTGGAGCTGCCATGGCCCCCAGCCCTGTGGAGGAAGGAGACATACAGTGTACTTCAAGAAAAGGACACGGAAGGTGCTTTTATTTTAAAACCAAAAAAAAAAAAAAAAAGTGCTACAGTGACAGGACACCGTGGGGGTGAAGCACGCAGAAGTGGGTTGTAGATGCCCGTGGCCCCAGCGGCTGCCCCCTGCGTTCTCCCCCTGTCTCCCTCGTCCTGGGCCTCAGCCCGCATTATCAGGAGCTGCAGTGGGCGTCTCCCCACTTACGAAGAGCGGCTTCCACGCCTCCCTCTCCCATCATCAAACCCGAAAGCCTTCTCCACTATCTCGCTTCCACCTCGAAACCAGGATCACTGGTCAAGAGTCTGGAAATCCGGGGAGGGGAGTCCTGCCCCAAAACCAGAGCAAGATACCTGCCCCCACGCTAACATCTCCTTTCTGTACATTCAGTATATTTGCTCCTATATACATCTATATACATCTCTCTACATATATATTATCTCTGTCTCTTTCTCCTTAGGTCAACCTTCCATATGTATCATGCCCTACTTCCCGAGCCTCCACCTACGTCTCATCTGCTGATCCAAGGGAGACTCGGGTTTCATTGATTTCACTGGGTCCCTCAGCAGCACCCTTTGTCATTGTCACACCCTGAGTACCCTCCCCCATCGGTCGTTTTGCCCGTCTGGCATCTCCCCGTTAACATCGGTGCCTAGCACTGTCCTGACATTCCAAGTCTACAGGGCCCATTTCTCACCAGACCTGGCTGATCCTCAAGCTGGTCCGATAGCCCGAAGAAGGATTTCAGCTCCGAGGAAGAGGCCACAGTGTAAAGAGCTGATTGGTGGGGGGGCGGGAGCGGGGCTGTTCTCTGGGGAAGCTTAAGGGAGAGTCAGCCAGGCTGTATTAAAAGGACAGTATGACTTAAAGTGCAGCTTAGAGCAAAGTCTGGGGTCATGGAGGAGAATCAAAAAGGTTAAGTCAGAAAATGTCCTCATTCTGTTATGCAAGAATCTGAGCAGAGTCTGGGGGCCTAGAGTAGACAGCAGGGGACTAGGGAGAAAGGATTTCCCTTGGGAGGGACGCAGCTGTGTGCAGAAGAAACTAGTGGAGGATGGCTTGCTAATGGAGAAGACGGTACGTGCGTGCGCGCGCACACACACACAGACACACACACACACTCCAGTACTTTGGGCCTTTACACATGGGAAGAAATCAGGTAAGTCTCATGTTGAATAACGTTGAGAGCCTAGAAACTGGCTTCTGTTCTCTGTGTCGGATTTTCAAGTTTTTCTGGTTCTTGTTTTCTTGAGAGCTAGGGAGTGTTGGTGGGGTTTGCGGTCAGTGAAGAATGAAGGGTCTTCCTTTTGAAGTTGTAGTTAGCCAAGTTCAAGGAAAGATGCACATAAGAGGATCTTACGTGGATCTTGTGGTGACCATGGGTCCATCCTCAGAACCGTGTGAGTTTCTCTGTAAAGCTCCGCACGCAGACGCACGTACACATTCTGGGTAAGTGTGTAGCTTGTAACAATCGACCGAGTCCACCTGAACAACCCGACACTTGATTCATGCACGGACTCTACACCAAGCCACTGTGGGGGCAAGGGGGACAGTTCCTTGGTACCTAAATGAGACCAGGAGGCACTCTTGGGATTTAGGGCTTTAGAGACTAAAGTTCTGGTGCCCATATGCCCTTCTTGGCCCCTCCCAAGCCCCCACCAGGGAACAAGGAACAGCCTGAAGTTGATCTCCCAAAGTGTGCCCTTTAACGCACCTGAAGGTGGCTTCGTGGCAGAGGAAAGTGGAGATGGGGCTGGCGCCCACTTTATCCCAACTCTCAGGAATGGCTAAGGGAGACCCGGGTTATTTGACCAGGAGGCGTGGTCCCCTTCCCTCCCAGCACTGACTAATGAAATAGCCCGCACCGTCAGAGGGACACAGGTAGGGGTGACAGCCTGTGTCTGCCGGCCACAGAGTTCTGCCCTGGCCCAAACCCTAATAAAGCACCCCCAATTCCCAGAGGCTTCACACAGCAGTCTGGAAATCTGAGAATTTACTCATCCTGCATGGTAGGGTTGATGTCACTTTCCTAGGGATTCTGGGCCCTGTAAGTATCTAGAACATCATTTCTAGACCTTTCTGTGGGGCCTGGGAACATACTGGCAAGGCTCATCCCATCCAGAGGTCACCAGGAAACGAATCCTCCCAGGGCTGTGTGCAGAATAGGGTCAAGGTTTTGGACAAAAGCTCTGCATTAGTCCCTCCACACTAATGAGTTCGGATTCCAGGACGGGTGCTGGTGTGGTGGTTGTGACTGTTTAACATTTCCTGGGTCAGCCTCAATTCTCTGGGAGCAGAGGCAGCAGTGAGAGAACTGGGTATCTGAAGGGAGGGTCCACTTGAGAAAGTAGAGGAAAACTGGTGACCAGGATTCTAGGTTATAGTCCGAATTTGCCAGCAGAAATGAACCACACTATGAAAAACTCGGACTTCTTTCAACAGGGGTTGGTAGAGAACCCAGGATAAATGAATTCCAGATTCCCATATTTCTAAGGGCACAGACCCCAAAAGGACTGTCAAGAGTCTTGCCTTAGGGAACTAGCTGCGTGGGAAATTAAAGGCGGGTGGGGGCTCCAGCCTCAAGTCACCCAACTTGGTGGTGGCGGGAGGTGGGGGGAGTCTATCCATCCAACTGCAATGGTCCTCCTAATGTGAGTCTCCAAGCATGGCTGAGGCGTTCTAAGTCACTTCAGCCTAATCTTCCCTCTCCTTCCCCATCCTGGCGTAAGGGAGTTGTGCATCAGGTGGAAGTGGGGTGAGGTGAAGGGGACAATGGAAGGAAAGCCCAGACTCCAGTTGGCCTCGCCTAGCCACAGGCCACCAGGTTGAAGCAGAGGGAGTGGAGGATGGGTGCTTCTGGGACTCCCCAGTAAGCCTGGGTAACAGCCCTCACCCAGGATGCCAAAGAGGAGAGACCAGAGGGATGGGGAGGTGGGACACCAGGCCATCAGACATTGCTGATGCGCACACTAAGGGCACTGCCCTCCTTCTCAGCTTGCTCCCGTAATGACTCCTCCAACTTGAGCTTCTCTGGGTCTCCATAGCGAACAGTGCTGTCGCGGAGGCCACTGGGAGGGGCCACTTTCACAACTTGGTCAAAAAGGCTGAAGTCAGCTATGTATTTGCCACTGGCTGACAGCGAGATGGCAGGTGTGAACTCATAGCCCCAGAGAATCTCCTCCGGCAGGTAGGAAGTACGCACTTGGCAGGTGGCACTGGTGGATTCCACCGTCCCGCTGAGGATCAGCACCAGCTCAAAGTCACCCTCGCCACTGCGGAGGGGGAGGTCTTTCAGGGGACTGGTCTCATCCACCACATGGTAGAACGTGAGGGGTAGAATGAGGAAGGGGCTGTCAGAGGCCGTGTCGACTTGGAAAGTCACATTGACCTGGTTGAGCCGGATGTTCTCACCCTCTTTGGTCTGGTGGGTCTGAAGCAGTTTGCCTGTCACCTGGCAGCCAATGAGGAGGCTCTTACGCATGTTGGCCACTCGGATCATGAGGCAGGGCTTCCCGTCATGCGCAGCGACGACCGCGTGCTGGCTGAAGCGGATGGTCTCTGCCCGCTTCTTGGGCCGGGCGATCTTGGCCAGGAAGGTGCCCGTGATGAAGATCTCCAGGATGGTGGTGAGCACCAGCTGGGCGATCAGGAGCACGATGGCCAGTGGGCACTCCTCACTGATGTAGCGGAAGCCATAGCCAATGGTGGTCTGGGATTCAAGGGAGAAGAGGAAGGCCCCGGTGAGCGTGTGCACCTGCACCACACAGGGGGTGTGGTTGGCGGGGGGGCCCAGCTCCAGCAGGTCCCCATGGGCCACTGCAACCAGATACCACACCACACCAAAGAGGAACCAGGTGCCTGCAAAGGTCGCTGAGAAGAGCAGTAGCTTGTAACGCCACTGCATGTCAATGAAGGTGGTCCACAGGTCCTTGAGGTAGAGGAAGCGCTTGTCAGCGATGTGCTCCATTTTCACGTTGCTGCGGCCGTCCTTGGTCAGCACTCGGCGCCGCCGGACCACTGGGCCCACGAGGGGCCGGCTTTCCGTCTGGGTGGTCTGACTGTAATACACCTTGGCGACTGATGTCATCTGCCGGGAGCAAGACAGCATAATGGAGGTTATTGCAGAAATCCGGCCAACGCCTAGCCACCCCTCAACGCGAAGGAGGAAGTCACATCCGTTTGGTGCCGCTGACTTGTTCTTAGTATTAGCCAATATTTATGAGCGCTTGCTGTATGCCAGGCGCTGCGCAAGACGCTGGTGAGTCAACAAGAAAAATGACATCATCCTTGCGCCCCAAGGACTCACAGCCTAGTGAGCGAGACACATTCAGTGAGCAAATAATCACAATGCAGTCTGATAACTTGCAATTCTTGGGAGATGCAGAAAAGAAAGAGTCATAAGCTCACAGTTCCTTGAAGGTGGGGCGAGAAGAGAGGGCTCTACTGGTCTCTGTTCCCCACAAAGCCAGTTCTGGGAAGATCACTCATTCTGAAATAGGATCCCCTCCCTCACGAATGGCAGAGCAAGAAAGACTATCCTGTTGAAATCGTTGCAGGCCAACCCCCCTTAAAACACACAAACCCTTAATTTCGCCACCTTTCCCCCAGCCCCAAGTCAGTACTCACTAGTGACGCCAAGATACTCATCTGGCTCAGGAAACAGCAGAAACCGCCCATCCTTCTACCCTTCAAGATGTCCTCTGAGCCCCCAGACCATTTCACTATGTCTTATTATGATTACTATTATTCCTTTATCATCACCATCACTATCATCATCGATTTGCATCATGTGGGGGGAACTCAGTCTGGGTCGGTGGCGGGGTGAGGGTGGGAAGAGCACAGACAGGACCCAAGCAAAAACAACTGAGCCATGGTGAAGGAGAAGCATCATGCCGAGGCCTCCTGGTGGTGCGGGAATGTTTTCCCAAGGACTGGGGGAAATGCCAGGTCGCCATGGCAAAGTCGCCTTGACCGAGTCAAGTAGGAGAGTTCGTGTATATTAGTTAGCACTTACGTCCGCACGTGCTCGCATTCAGGATTGCTGTTTGTCCTGATAGAAGAAAGTGGCACAAGGCTCTGAAATAGGAGACAGCTCGCTTCCTACAAGGTGCCATCACCCCTGCCCAAGGAGTAACTTGTACTTTTCCAGCAGAGGAAGGAGTTCAGTCACTGGAGCCCTTGGACTCTGGATCTGGTAGCCAGACCTTCTGGGAAGGAGGAGGGTGACCTCGGGCGGGGGGGCGGGGCGGGCGGTTGGTCCTTGTAGAACAAAGAGGCTCATCACATTCTCTGTTCCAAAAAAATCTGAACCATTGCATTTTATCATTCTTCACACTGCTCCCTTACCCCATCTTCCCCATGATCTGACACCTGGAACATGAAACTCTTTGGGCCCATTCAAACACCCACCCAGGTAGGCACTAGACTGGTGATCACCAATGGATGAGAATCCCGGAATGTTCAGAAGCAACCAGGAGCCTGTTTTGCCAGCCTCCACCCACTTGGAACTTTTGTCTGAGTGAGACCACTCAGCCAGAGCTGGATGCCATGCACTTCCCTTAGCTACTTGGGAGCAAAGGAGAAGCTCAATAATTCTGAAGTTTGAAGAATTATTGTTTAGAGCCCAAGTAAAGCCCCATTCAGTACTCAGTAGTAGCAATAATATTAAAAAAAAAAAAAACATGCACAGCACCTGCATCTCTGTACCATTTTAAAGTTTACAGATTAGCGTGTCTTCTCATTTGATCCTCAAACTGGAAAAGATGTGAAACCTCTCAGAGATTCTGAGGAACTATTAACGGACAGAGAAAATGCTGCAAAGTTGTGGATGAGTGAACATACTTTTAATTTTCAAAAAGAAAAACAAGATACATTTCACAAACTACAGACAAACAGGTAAGATATTGGCCCAAGGCAAGATTCTAGAATAGAGCGTTAAGACTGTGAGTATGTGGTGCCTCAGTTGGTTAAGCGTCTGACGCTTGATTTCAGCTCAGGTCATGATCTCAGGGTCGTGAGATCAGGCTCCAGGCTCAGCTGGGAGTCCGCTTGAGCTTCTCTCTCTCTCCCTCCCCCTCTGCCCCTCTCTCTCTGTCTCTGTCTCTGTCTCTCTCTCTTTCTCTCAAATAAATAAATCTTTAAAAAGAAGAAAAAAAGACTGAGTATGTGAGCACTTGGGCAGGTTGGGGGAAGGGCAGTTATCGGTAGGACCCAGCATGAGGGTTACCAAGAACAAGTCACATCAACTAAACTAACTTCCTTCCAGGACAAGGTTACTAGATAAACAAGTCAGAGAAATGCAATAGATAAAGTGTATCTATGCAAGGTTTTTGACAAGATCTCTCATTATGTCCTTGGGGATAAGACCGAGAAAAACGAACAGAATGCTGCTCTGATTTGGGGGACTAAAACATACAAAAATCAGTGGTACTCGTGAGTGGATCATGATAGCCTGGAATCTATTTTCTAGTGATGTACCGGAGAGCTTTATCTTTGGCCTTACCCTATTCAATGTTCGTAACATTAATTTTATTCAAAACTATAGGACACATGGCCATCAGTTATGTGGATGACACAAAGCAGGGACGGATTGCAAATACAAGGTCTGGGCAGAATTAGGATCCAAAAGGAGTCAGAGGAGTGCGCCAATTCTAACAAAAAATATAGTTATTGTGTATGTGTGTATGTATCGGGGTCCAAATATTACCTGAGCAATTCTGGATCGGAAAGACGTGATGCATTTTGGTTGCCAAAAAAGCAATGCTATTTTAAGCTACTTTAGGCAAATTAAAGTATGTAGAATAAGGAGATTGTTGATTCTGCTCTGATCTGCTTATCCTGTACTTGCAGTTTTGAGTCTCAAAGATATTGATATGACAAAGAACAATGTAACAATCGGGACATCCAAATGTGGGAAGAGCTTCTCCAAAGGTACAGCGTGCTCTGTCCCCGGAGGGGTTCACGGGCAGGATGGACAAGCACTTTGCCAAGATTCTGTAGAGGGAACTAAAGCTTGGGACGGAGGTTAAGGACCGTCTGTAAGCTTTCACCCACGCTCATGGAGGATCAGGATGCCTGCCCCCTCTGCGCCATCTCCCCCCCACACTTCCTGTGGTGACATCCGGGGATCCGCCATCAAAGTCCCAGCTTTGTTCGTGCAGAGGAAAGATTCCACATATCTTGAGGAACGGAAGCTCTTGGGGCCCAAGGGAAGGCTTGCTTATCATTCCCAAAACAATAGTCTATGATTATATATCACATGGCAGTTCTTAAAATATGTAATTTGACCCTCACACCCTGAACTAAGTACAAAAGTCATCATTAGAATCAGGCTCAGAGATTTGCCCCAAGCAGATTAGTGGTAGAGTTGGACCAGAACCTGGTCCTCCGGCTCCTGGTCCGGACCCTTTTCTTTTTTCTTTTTTTTTTTTTTTTAAGTAGGCTCCACACCCAGCATGGGGCCCAAATTCACAACCCTGAGATCAAGGATCACACGCTCCACTGACCAAGCCAGCCAGGCGCCCCCAGAACTTTTGAATTACAGCAACTGCTTCTGGGTCCCCCAGGTTCCTCCCCATGGGTCTCAGGGTCTCAGGAAGTGCCTTGTGGTGCCCTGTAGGGAGGATCACAGCCGAGCCACCAAAGACAGAGCCTGGAGCTTCCAGAGCCCCGCCTCAGGACTACAGATTCGTGGCCCTGCAGATTTGGGCTCCCGGCTAGAACTCTTTGTTGTGATTGCAGCCTCCAGCTGTGCACCTGTTGGTGTGCCACCTCCCACAGCCAGGCAGCTTTGTTCTCCACGGTGGCCCGAGTCCGAGCCATCCACCATCCGCTGCGCCCCGCCCCCAAGCTGGCCAGGCTCCCGGGAAGGGAGCGGCCCCAGCCCCGGAAACCGGCCGCCGCTGCCCCACCTGGAACACACACACACCTCCCTCTAGAGGGTGCTGTTTCCCCCAAAACCGTCCCAGCCCCACACCAGGGACAGTGTCTGAAGACACAACCAGCCCCCGAGTGGTGAAGAGACAGAAACAGAGACCATCCGCTTCACGCTCTAAGAATTGTACGAATGACTATTTCTCTAAAACAAAGGCCGGTCATACCCACAGGGGTGTCCGGCCTGCGTCCTCTACAAACACCACTCTCACCTCCTGCTTCGTGCCTGTAGACGGGCCTAGCTTCCCCTGAGAGCTCACGAGTCATTTATTGTCCAGATCGAACGGGTTCTTCAGAGCCCTTCTGGCATACAGCTCTGCTCTGGAGCAAGGACACGCTGCTCTTGGGACTCTCGTGACTAAATTGATCCATGGTTCCCCACTGCTTTTAGGATAAGCTGCAAGCCTCTGAGCATAGCCTTCAAGGCCCTTCATGGTTTGGTCTCTGCCTACTCATTGGCTTTGTTCCTGCCGTTTTTCTACACACCCCCTGGACCCCAGCTCTGCAGAGCCTGTTGTTTCATCCTCCCTGCCTTTGGACCTGCTCTCGCACTGCTCCATGCCTACCCGCCGACCTCCTGCTCAGCTTTCAGAACGCAACTCAAGTGTTAGTTGCCCCCTTTGAAGCCTTCCCGGACCATCCAAGAAATAGCGGGTGTCCTGTGTCTCCCTGGCCTCACCCCAGCGTGGGTTTATGAAGCCCAGTCTTGTACACATTCCTATTTTAGAACATCAGAGTGCTTTGCAATGGTGTGTTCACCATTGTGTGTCGCCTGTGAGCCCTTCACTTAAGGCCCCGGCCTGGGACTTCCACTGTTTCCCCAGTATCGGGGACAGTTAGTTACTAAAGCCTGAGTGTGCAGGAATGACACCCGCAGGCCCATCCAGACCGAGGCTCGGGAGATGGTGATGCCGCGCTTCTGGAGACCTCCAGGGGGAGCCACGGTGCCATGGGAGGGAGCCAGGCTCCGGGCGGCCCCACTACCGCGGCAGCCGGTTACAAACACTTCCTTCGAAGGCGGGAGAAAGCAAGTCCTTGGGGCATCAGCCCGGGCTCTCCTCTGGGTCAGCGGCAGGATGGAGAGAGAGAAAATGAGTTCGTAAATGGCTGTGGGCATTGGGGTGGACCATGCCAGGTAAGGGGCTGGAAAGGATG